TCCCTCTCAATTATAAGACGGTTACCATAAACCGAGTTCTTAATGTTCAAAGGATAGCAAGGAAGGTCTTTTGGTGGCGTTGGTGTCTACGTTGAAGAGGTATCTTCAAAGATATGTTTCACTAACTTTCGTTTTAATCATGTTTATGTCTTTCCTTCGTTGTAATTCTAAAACAAGATCGAAGCACATGCATTCGCGCGCTTCCGCTGCGGGATTCGATCCCGTCAGGTACTGCAACTCAAATTTATATAAAAATTGCAACTCAAATTGGAGCTTAATATAGTAATCTTCAATTCTCGCCCATCAATAACTTTATGTGGTTATTTTAATAAAACATGAGCGAGGTTAGTCGAACTCACTCGAGGTCTGCCACTAACTTTACGTTATAAGGAATTCAAAAGTAGGGGTAATTGCATACATTTACTTTCACTGGCGTATCAGAAAATGCTATTTTAGGTTAGAAAAAGGTATTTTGAAGGCATAGGTCATTTGAGCGAAAAAAGAAAAACAAAAAAAAAACAAAACTTTTTTGGGGTCAAAAAAGGTAGGTAAACTATCATTATTTTATTTTTTTTACTTGGACTGAACCGAACTAAATTTTATAATTATCGAACTAAACCAAACCGAATCAATTCAGTTTGGGTCGATTTTTGGTTTAGTTCAAGTCCTTACCCCTAGTAACTTTAATGATTGCTTAATTAGTTAAGCCTAACGGCTCTTAAATAGTTATGCTAATGGTTCATAAAGCCCAACAAGTATTAATTAGTCCCACGGCTACTTAGTTAGTTAATGGCTAGTTTGTTATTTGGGTGGTTATGGGTTGGTTAGAGGATTGTTAGTTTGGTTATTCTACAAATACTATATCATTAGTCCCTACAAAAACCAATTTTATGAAATAAAAATCCATCGGTGTTTACATCAATTTCATCAAAAATTCATTTTAGTTTCCGGATGAAGGTTTCTAATTTATTTACCGATTTCATAGATCTAGATGATTTTCTGTCACTCTCTGGATTTTGGGATAAAAAAAATTATAATTTTAAACTTTGAATTCGATTGTAGTAAAAAAAAATCTCTTAGATTATACGATTTTAAAGTTTAGCATTTTTTTTAATTAGTTTAAATCCCTAGGTTTTAGATATTTGTTAGTTGTTGAAAAACACCCCATTAAATAGCAGTTAGATAGATAATTTAGTTGCATGGGCAATTTAGTCAATTATTTTGCCAGAAAATTAAAACTCCTAAGATTACATTGCTCATATGTACAATTTTAGAAACTTTTGGTCATCTATCCAAACCACTGTTTTAATTTAGTTATTTATGCTGTTATCCCTATGTAGTTTCCCATTTTAAAGAATTAATTTAATTCATTCTAATATTTTCTATTTCATCCCATTGAAACATAGAATATTTTCAACTAAATAATAGAGTGTTTTGACCCAATTGCATCATTCTCTTATTACTATGAGATAATTTTAACAATGACTCAATTTGAATTGAAAAGAACAATGAGTATATTTATCAATCCGAGCATAGTTAACATGTTTAGGTACTTGTATTATGAGAGGAAAATTGGGCGGTCATGTGTCAAATATCGGAAGGAAATACCAATTTGGTAATGTCAGCTCGACCGAAGGGGATGAGCTGGGTTGGCCTCACCTTAACATTATTGTCTTCAGTGCGCGTTGCAGTCAATGCCCACCGCAAGACTAGCCCTGACTGAAATTAAGGGAAGAAATCTCTACCTTTCTTATCAAACAAATTTAGCATCGAGTACCTATAAGAAAGTTGGGTAATCTTTTATGCTCATATATGTTCAAATCTCTTCCAAATACTCGACTTCTCTTCTACCACCATTATTGACTGCTCACATTTGTTTTGCAGGTCATGCGATTTGTAAAAGAAGTAAGCCACTTTGCTTGGACAGACAAATCTTTATACGAATAACTTATCTCCAATTAAGGGGTCGAACTACCTAGAATATATTTTTGTAGGTCTTTTATATTATATTTATGGCGTTGTGTAATTTATAACTTGTTGGGTGTGTAATGAAAACCGTCGGATGGAGCCTGCTTTTCACTTCACTTTTCATGTACAAAACATAAAAGTGAAATTAAAAAAAAAAGGAAATATAATATGTAGTGGGTAGAATGCCAGGTGGCAGTCAACATAAAAGACATTGACTAAGTTCAGTGAATAAGTGAAGCACGTGGCTAGAAAGGAACATAATTCTGAGCAGTCTCCGGCTGCTGCTAATAGCACGTGATACCACGTGAGTGTTCTTCACCTAGTTAGAATAGAAATGCCACTTTGGATTTCGCTTGGCGGGAGAAACAAATCAAATTTTCTTTTTCTTTTTTATTAAAGCCCTCGCTATTGTATTGTATCATTTTAACATTTCATAGTTTTTTTATTATTTAAATATTATTTTAGTGTATAAATTCAATTTTACTTGATTTCGATTTCTATATTTTTAAAACATCTATTTCAATCTTTATATTTTTCAATTTTTATTCATTTTAATCTTGGTAGGTTCAAAATGACTATTTTAGTTCATACATTTTATTTTTATCATAATTTTAGTACGACGTTATTAAAGATGTATTTAGTTGGTGATTTGAAAACAAGGGATTCAATGAAAAATAAAATTGTATTATTTGGTAGTAGATTTACCAATCGAATCTTAATTTTAAAAGAATTTCAACGTGTGTTTAGTAATATATTTGTAAACTAAGGGTAGTTGCCAACTAAATATATTAAGTTCATTTTAAAATAATATTAATTAATTTATTAACATATATACTATAAAATTTGTAGAATTCTTATTTTATAATATTATATACTTTATAATATATTATATTTAACTTTTTTTTGATTTAAAAAAAATGAAATGAGTTTATAACCTAAAATAGTATATTTATAAAAAAAAATTCGAGGTAATTATATTTCTAAAATTTCAAATTCAAAATCTAAAAACACGGAAAACATCATAATTTCAACTAGATATTCACTAAATTTATTTGATTAAGTAAATCTAAAAAAAAAAAGAACATCCAAATTACCAACCATACCGATCCTAAATAAAATTTGTGAACATTTGGTAGGTAGAGAATAAATTGATGAAGTAGAAGGATTAAAACATAAAATACAAATTGAAAATATTTAGATCAAAATGAATAAAAACTGAAAAAAAACCAAAATCAAAATAGGTTTTTATTTTTATTTTTTTATTTTTTTAAGTTTAAGAAAGAAACAGTTGTTTCAGCATAATTCAGTATCAAATTAGATTGTGTTTTTTTTTCAGATTCACTTAATCAAATGGATTTAGGGAGCATTTGACAGGATTTTGAATATTCGTTTCTTAAAATTATTTTCGAATTCTGTGATTCAACCAGTTGAAATTCTGAAAACATTCAGTGTTTTCAGATTCAGAATTTGAAATTTTGAATAGGCAGAATTACATTAAAATTGATAAAAACTTTGATAAATATATTACTTCATATTATCAACTCATTTTATATTTGTTAAAATTAAAGCATGTAAAATATACGTATTCTCTTGTAAAATAATAATTATACAAAATTTATAAAAAAAAAATTGTTAATAAATTAATTAATATAAATTTAGATTAAACTAAAATTTTGTTTGCAACTGCTTTTAATTTACAAATATATTACTAAATACATATTAAACAATTTTTTAAATTGAGATTCAATTACCAAATCTATTATCAAATACATATCTCAACAAATAATACAAACTATGATTTTAATTGAATCATTTATTTCCAAATTTAGGTTATGTGATTACCAATCAAAGAGTTTAACTTTTGAAGTTAAACTCTAGTACACAAACTCGTTGTAGAGAAGAGAAAAGGAAAAAATAAAAAAAAAACTCTTTTCTCTGACCCCTCCTGACACCGTCATTACCTTATGCCCGCTGCCAAACTCCAATGCACAAAAATTTTAAAAAAATTACTATCTCTATGTGTCAGAATTCAGATTCAACACCCAATTACGGACTTCATCTTAAATAATAATATAAATAATAAATCTGCCTTGGACCAAGCGGAAATTCACCCTTCCCAAAATAATAATAATGATAATGATAAATCAATTAATAAATAAATAAAATTCAATAGTATTTTAGTATTCTCAAATTTAATCCACCTAACACATCGCACTCCCAATTTTTAGGGTGTTTCATTCACATATAAACCTCTTAAATAAATGATTAAAACTACTTTTCTAAAAAATTTGTAGACATGGTTGATAGGGATATAACATTAATGTTAATAATTGTTAAATAAAATATTTATTCATTAATTTCAATATTTGTTATGATTTTTTTTGGAATATATTTTAGTATTGATAAATATTGATATTTTAGACTTATATATTTATTGACATCCACACTTAAATTTTGTTACTCACCTACTCATTTGACCAAGTCCATCGATAATTGTTGATGTCCAAATTCTATTCAATGATGTAGACTCGAATAGTAAATGTTGACGTTTTTCTGCAACCTGCAAGATCGAATTGAAGACCACGTGATGTCCTATTTAGTGCATTTTGATGCATAAATTGGATTTAAATGAGCTAAGAAGAGACCAAATTTATGTTCTGGAAGATGGTTGCTTATAGATGAGCGTTTTAGGAGCACATGTTGCGAAACTTGATTTGTACCGTGGATCATATTAAGATTAAGGTTGGTGGTAAAAATATACTCAACTAGCGAGATAGTTCATCCCAACCGATATCCATTATTTATTCTTTTTCTAACGAGGATGGGTGAGCATGGCTGCTTGTCTTGGAGAAAAGTAGGCTTTCCGCCCTCGAGCTATTGGGTTGAGACTCTCGAACCCTCAACCCACGTGGCCCTCGGAAATTTACCCACGTGTAACGTCATATTTGAGCCCATAACAGTAATGTTTAAAACAAAATAGAAAATACGATATCATAGATTCCTTGCTTCGCTGCTCCACATCTATTATTTGTAACGTCTCTCTGTCTCTCTCTCTCATAGTTAATTAGTAGCAGCTCCCTCAGGTTCAGCACAAGTACTGTTCATCGTTGGAAATCTCTCCTCCGAAAATCTTTTTTCCTAATTTTCTTTTCCTTTTTTTTATTTTTCTGCTTTTTCTGAGTCAATGCGATCGAGGGATGGGGAAGAATGGAGGTAGCTCAAGCTCAAGTTCATGGTTGAGTGCTGTCAAAAGGGCTTTCAGATCTCCCACTAAGGATAACGAGAATGACCACCAAAAGGTAATATATTAAATAAATAATACTCATAATTTAATTTCAACAAAGCCCCAATTTTCTTCTTCTTCTTTGAGCAGGGTAGAGAGAAACGCCGCTGGATTTTCAGAAAACCCACAAATAATCACTGCCCGGAACCGGTCGCCGGCCTGCAACCCCCGCCGCCGCAGCCGCCTCCGCCAGCCTTTCTAGAACCCGTCCAGCCCACCAGGCTCGCCCGCTCCGGTTTGGATCGCTACCGCCATGCCGCCGTTGTGATCCAAACCGCCTTTAGAGGGTATCTGGTGAGCCTCTTTTCCATGAACACCATGCGTGTTTCTTTGATAATTAAGTTCTCCTTTAATAACTATTTTCTGACAGTAAATTCACTAGGAATCATTTCGAAGTGAGTTACTTCTTTGAATGATTTTGGATAGTAAAAATTACTGGTAAAAGATTATTATCTTAAATGGAAGTGATTTTAACAGTGATAAAATTAACTTTGTTCATAACAAAATTACCGTCAAACATACATATTCCAACGTTTTACCATGATATATATAAGTGATTATAGAAATTATAAAATAATCGAAAGTAAATTTGATTGTGTCAAAATTACTCCATAGCCTAAATTACCCTCAATCCTCCAACCATTTCAACTCTCACTCAATTAGTGTATGGTGTTGAATAATGCTTCTTAATTAAGGTAATTGACAATACTAGAGTTACCCAACAAACAGATTTGTGACTAGAAGTACCTTTAAAGAAATGTAACCAGTGGACGTTATTTTAATTTAATGCCTTTCTAGAATAAAATAAAATAATAAATACATAAATAGATGCTAGCTAGGTAGAAATTAGATGAGCAGACTGGAATGCTATGGTCAGCTTGAATATAATTTAGTGGTCTGTTTGATTATCACTTGAAATATAATGATATGATTTTTTTATTAATAAATAATTATTAAAATAATGGTAAATTTGCCTACATAAGTTTTAACTTAGTGGTAATTGACATCTGTATTTGATTAATAAGTCATAAGTTGGAATCCCTGCAACCCCGCTATTCAAAACAAAATGGTGGAAGATTAAGCAAAATTTTGATTTTTGTTTGTCATTGTAAAAAATTAGAAAAAGTTTGTGAAATTTGAAAGCAATGGTAAATAATTTGAAGGCGAGGAGGGCTTTGCGGGCGCTGAAGGGAGTGGTGAAGTTACAGGCAGTGGTGAGAGGCCACAACGTGAGAAAACAGGCAAACACGACGCTTCAGTGCATGCAGGCGCTGCTGAGACTGCAGGCCCACGCCCTGGATCACCGGAGTAGGCTCTCCCAAAGGAAATCTGTTGTAAGTTTTTATCATCAACATTACAATTTACACACCGAAAAACAAAAGAAAATGTTGAGAGTCAATTTTCCATTTTTTTGTTTTCTTGGGTCGAGTGTTCGTCGAGAGAAGGAAGTAGTGTAGCGGACGATTGGGATGAACGTCCCCACACGGTTGAAGAAGTTAAGGCGATGTTGCAACATAGGAGAGATGCTGCTTTGAGTCGCGATAACGTTTTGTCTCACTCATTTTCTCAACAGGTACCTTCTCATTCTGCTCATTCGCCTTTAATTATTATTCAAATTATACTTGTTTCCTCATCATTGGTATGTTTTAAATATAAGATGATATGGAGGAGTGGAAAGAGCCCGTCAATAGGAAACCAAATGGAGCTTGATGAAGGACCGAAGTGGCTTGATCAGTGGATGGCGAACAAGCCATGGGAGACCAGGGCAAGAGCTTCAATAGATCACAGACCACAGCCCCTTAAAACCCTTGAAATCGACACTTCTCGACCGTACTCTTACTTAGCACCCGAAAATCTATACAGAATGAACTACCAAACTGGCCAACAGCATCACCCATCACAAAGATCCAACTCTCTTTCTTCTTCCTCCCCGCTCCACCGAGCCCCCCACCACCACCACCAATACCCCATCACCCCGTCCCCGTCGAAAACCCGCCCGATCCAACAAGTCCGGTCCGCGAGCCCCCGCTGCAGCAGAGAAGACAGAAACAGCCATCACATTACATCTCAAACGCCAAGCTTGAGGTCCAAACATCACAGCACCAGCAACAATGTGGGCAGTGGTGGGACTTCACTGCCTAACTACATGGCAGCGACGGAGTCGACCAAGGCCCGAGTCCGATCTCAGAGCGCACCGAGGCAAAGGCCAGGGACGCCAGAGAGGGAGCGAGCTGGGACAGCGAGGAAGCGACTCTCTTATCCGGTACCGCCGGATCCTTACAGTAGAATGGTGGGGTGTGGAGTGTATGGGAATAACATGAGGAGTCCAAGCTTCAAGAGTGCTTGTGGAAGGTACGGTGGGTTGGAGGAACGGTCTAACTATTCTTCTTGCTATACAGAGAGCCATGGAGGAGAGGTTTCTCCTTCTTCAACCGCTGATCTCAGGAGGTGGTTGAGATGATGAAATCCACAGTTTGGGAATGTAATTTCTCGGGCTTGTAATTTGACTTGAAAACAAGAGAAAAAAGATGAGGTAATTAAAGAGAATAGTTAATATGATTGACTTGTATTTTTGGAATATGAAGTCGGGACTTGTATTTTTTTTTAATAACGGTGAGTCGGAGATTTGCTTTTCTATATCCAAAGGCACTCATGTCCGTCCCAAAGCTCGGACCCAGTAGATATCAAAAGTTTTTTGTATTAAGTTCATCTATCCAAAAAAAGGTTTAAACTTGAAATTCTAAACCAGAATAACCAAAACTTGGAGAAATTGCTACCCACTGCTTGTAACATGGACTCTAAATTGGGCAAGTGCAGTGCCATCTCAATTGAAGAAATTTCTTCCATGTCTATCTCTTCATTCTAAAATCCTAGCCTTCTTTTTATTGCCACCAGAAAGTTGGAACTAGGGTCATCTTAAATCATCTCTATGTCCAATACTTGTTCTCCTTAATTGTAATTGCATTCACTTCTCTGGTCAAATACTTGAGGAGTATATAAGCTTGGTGGCCTTCACCATAGGTTGTAAATCAAATTTGATTGATTTTAAAATTCTATGTTAATTAAAAAAGATAGTTTTCAAAAACAGATTTTAAATCTGATTTTTTTTTTACTAATACTCAACTTTTTTTTTATTTCTCATATTCATGTATAAAAAATTTCTTTCTCAATCTAAATTTTTTTTTTATTTCTAAATTTCTCTCTACAAAATTTACTTTTCTCTTTCTAAAATTTTCATACTTTGAATATTTATTATTATTTGTCTTTTTCTCCAAATTTTCCATATCTATGTATTTTTATTTTTTATTCTATTAAATAAATTTCTGTTTACAAAATTTATTTTTCCCTCTCTGAAATTTTCGTACTTTAAATATTTATTTGTCTCTCTAAATTTTTCATCTTATTTTTCTCTCTCTAAATTTTTCATCTTATTTTAAATTTATTTTTCTCTCTCTAAAATTTTTGTACTTTTAATATTTATTATTATTTGTCTCTCTCTAAATTATCTCTATGTATTTTTATTTGTTATTCTTTTTCTAACAGAGCAGTTCGATTTCTCTCTCTACAAATTTAATATTTTTTCAATTTTTTTAATATTTTTTCAATATTTTTTCTCTTTAATATTTTTCTTTTATAACTTTTCTTTTTATTCCTAATCTATTATTTCATCTTCTTTTTTCATTCAATTTTCTTTTATGGTAACTTTTACTTATCTATGTATTTATTTATTTTCTCTAAAAATTATATTTTGAATCTTGTTTTTATCTCTAAATTTTTTCTACTATAATTTTTTTTTTCCGCAGAGTCAGACCCTAAAAATAAGAAATGCATGTCCGTACCCCGTCCCGATTCCATTTTTTTAAATAATTAATAAATATTTATTACGCTTTTTTATTTTTTAAATTATAAAAATAATTAAAAACAATTATAAAACCAATAATTCTTCTCGAGAACATCTCTCAGACCAAAGAACGAGGTAGAGACGAGATTACAAATTTTCACGGACGAGAGAATGTTGGATAACATCCTCTCACTTGCATCCACACCATTATCATCTCTACTCTACATAGAATTTTCTCTCTTATTTCAATTTTTTAACTTTTAAAAAACAGAAAACTAAAAAGAGTTACCAAACATGTTTGGTTTTCTAGTTTTCAAAGACAAAAAACAAAAAATGATTATCAAACATATATTGTTTTTGTTTTTTAAAAACAAAAAACCAAAAACTAAAAACAAGAAAACAACCAAAAACAGAAATGGTTATCAAACGGGTCTGAAGTGATTCGATTTTGGCTTTGAACGGCTCGATAACCTAAAATATTTCTCAAGGTTTATCCTTATAAATTAAGTAGCAATCTCGTGTTTTGAAGCTTATTATTTCACATGTAACTGCATTGAAGGGGCTATAAAATCCATACGAATACCTTTTCGTCGCATAAAAGCTTTTCGTTGCATATTTGTGATGTTAAAAATAAACTTTCCGTTTTCCCATTTTTTTGTAGTGTCTTAGAAACTTCATAAACTTCCCAAGTTGTTGCAGAAATTAATCAGGTGAGGGAGCTAAAGGAACACTTTATAATTTCTGACCACAGAGCATAACAAAGAACTAGCAACTACCATAGACAAGTAGTTTCTTTCATCTAGTTTTACAGCCACAACAATGCTCAATTGGGTTGCTTAATTGAGAAGTGGGAGTTGAATTCATGATTGTGACGTCGTCTCTCTAGTGCTGTGTAACCAAACAACGATTCAGTTCCCAAATTTTTAAGTCATTGGAGTTTAAAACAAACTTCAATATATAATGATTTAGTCCTCCAATCCTATAGTTAAAAATGCATAACTTTCTAGTTCTAGCTGGAGAAATGTTAGGGTGTGGATACAAAAAAAAAAAAAAAAAACTATTTAATGGGCCAAAAGCCTACAACTTTATTTTTTAGGCTTATGCCGCCTACTTATATATATATGCACATGAGTTTTTACTTTTATGTGTTGGGTGGTAGAAAAACAAGGGAGCCGTGGGATTTTGGTAGCAGCTGACTTTAAGGTGGTTTTGAAGCAAATTTGTTGTGGCGGCGGTTCGGATATTGGCAGAGGCTTTGGGGCAGATCAAGATCAACATTATTGGGATATTTGTATCTTGATGATTGTGAGTTTTTCATTCCTGTTCTAAGTATTATTGTGTTAAAATACTTAGAAGTTAGGGAGCTTTTGTTGGGACCTCCAGGGGATATTTTTGGGGAGAGTTTTGAATCCAATCTTTTTAACAATTACTAGTGAATTACCCACATCTGAGTGGAAGACTGGACGTAGTCCATAGTGGTGAATCAGTACAATTTTGCTGTGTCGTTTTCTTGTTCTTTACCGTTTTCATCCTTATTTGCATATTCTGATTGTGTGTGAATATTTTCTGTGGAAGGGAAAATAACATAGGACCGTTAATTTCCAAATAAGTGGTATCAGAGTTGTAGGGTTGTAGCATCATGAGAGATAAATATCACGCACACTATTACTATGAAGAGGTTCTGAAGTTCACTGGGGAGAATTTCAATTTTTGGAATATGTAAGTAAAGGATTTCTTACATGCAAGAAAATACACAAGACTTTAGGGGAGAGACCAGCGGGGATGACTTGACAAGAATTGGAATGAGATGCCTTATGCTTTATCTGTCATCGAAAAGAAGACGATATTTGTCATGCGATCTTTAAATGTAACCGTGCAAGAGAGATTTGGAGGTGTAGAAAGCTATTCACAATTGTCTTCCTACGCTAAGTGCCAGACGAGGGATGGATATTCTTCCCTTATGCTTTATCTGTCATCGAAAAGAAGAGGATATTTGTCATGCGATCTTTAAATATAACCGTGCAAGAGAGATTTGGAGGTTGTTGTGTAGAAAGCTATTCACAATTGTCTTCCTACGCTAAGTGTCAGACGAGACAAGGATTGAAATGAGATGGATGAGCAGGCCGTTGCGAATATCAAGATGTCATTGTCAATGAATGTTTGTAGTCTGGTGGCGAAAGAGACTACAACAAAAGAATTATTGAAGGCCTTGCAAGACAGGTATGAAAAACCTTCTGCCAATATAAAAATACTTTTATGGACGAAGTATTTTAATATCCACATGGAGGAGAGAACCTCGGTGAATTCCCACGTTAATCAATTCACTGATATCTTGAACAAATTATAAGGGATGGGTGTCAAGATTGAGGAGGAGGTGAAAGCTATGAGGCTGTTGACGTCTTTGCCTGACAGTTGGGAGACGATAAAGACCGCGGTGTCTAATTCGCTAGAGGAAAATAGCTTGAAATTTACAGCTATTTGTGATGCCGCCTTATCTGAGGAAGCCCGGAGAAAATTAAGGAAAATACCTACATCTACTTCAGGGGCAGAAAATGATGTTGAATCAGCTTTGATGACTTAAAACAAAGGGAAGGCAAAGATGAGTTACAATGGGAAGCAACAGTGGAGATATAGCAGGGGTAGTGGGAGTTCTAGTGAGGAAGTGGAGTGCTTTTACTGCCAAAAGAAGGGACACGTTAAACACTTTTGCAGGAAGTTCAAAGAAGATTTTGAGAAGGGGAATAATACTGCAAATGTTATAATTGAAGAAGAACAGATTAAAGAGTTTCTGGCTTGTGTTCAAAGGAACATATCTATGGACTAGTGGGTAGTAGACACTGCAGCATCAGTGCACGTTGCTTCAGACAACTGTTGGTTCTCATCTCTTACTGTAGGTGATTGTGACTTAGTGAAGATGGGGAATGAGAGTATCTTCAAGGTGAGAGGAATTGGAGATGATTATTTGAAGACAGGCGAAGGGACCAAGTTGGTGCTACGAGGTGTCAGGTATATTCCTAGCTTCAGATTTGATTTCTTATCGGCAGGGAAGCTAAATGACGATGGCTACAGCAGTGAGTTTAGTGGGGGTTGCTGGAAGCTCAAGAGGGAATCCAGGGTGGTGGCAACATGCCACAAGAGATCTTCTGTTTATGTGTTAGAGTTTGGAGTTGCCAAGGGTTCAATGAGACAGACAATGCACAGAGTAGCTGCAGATGGTTCATGGCAAGACCTTAGAGGACCAACATCATTGATGGCCAGAACAGATCAGAAGAATTTGCCATCAGCTCAAGTTAAACAGTTGAGAAATATAGAAAAGGGAAACGAAAATTTGATAGGCCATTGAGTTCATATCTCAGCTGTCAGACGTTCAGGCGAGTTGGTGAAATCGCATAGACGAATTAGTGCATTGAAGGGTATGAGTTATGTTTCTAGTATGGTGACATGCTTGGGTGGGAGTGTCAAGCCTAATACAGAGAGAAAATCTTCTCTCAGAGATCAGTGGATTCGATCGAAACGACCACTCCATTTCTAGGACAAAATGGTCTATCAAGCGACAAATATAGAAACACCAGGAACTTCCCTAACAGCAATAAAACACACATAGTACCTCATAAAGGCTGTGTTCCAATTGGTTCATGGAAGATTGAGTCGAAGTCCAATATATAGATAGAACTCCAAGTGAATAGTCAATTAACTTAAACTTAGGAGAAGTATTACAGGATTCTCAAAAGAATATAATAAATCAAAACCAAAATCATCAAAATCAAATGATGAGCTAAAAAATTTCATAAAAACCATAAAACAAACCCTACCATTGTCATTACAAAAAGGCAACACATCAAATATAAGATGAAAAGGCACACAAGATAAAGAAGATCAACAAGAAAAAATTAAACGTGTCAGGTAACACAAAGTTACCTCCAATTTGATATTCGTAGTCTCAGCAACATAGCGCATTATAGAGTGAACAAGCTTGCACTTATTGTATTGTACCTCTCCTTGCAAGCTTGAATATCCTCCTTAGACACCTGCCTCTTACGCAAATCAAAGTAACCCTTCTCCTTATCGACTCCGAGAACCATGATGGACTCAATTCGACCGACCTTGATTAAGCTGTTGACACTATCCGCAAATATGTAAGAAGAACAAGCACCATGATAAAATCTCTAAACCTTCCAAAATCATCACCTTTAAGTGCAGTAGCTAATAACATCTCAGTGCAGCAGCAAATTGGGCACAATATATGCAATCAAATCTCAGTCAATTGCTAAACTTCCGTTCTGAATTACCATTGCATTTAGAAAACTTGAATCTAGAAAATTCCTTCTTATCGGAATTGACCTCCTGCTCAACATTATAAAAAATTTGCGGAAGATTCCACGAAAATCTTGAAGTATATAAACTCAAACGTATGAAACTCACATTTTCAACTACATCTCCTAAGTTAACTCAAGTTTTTATAACTCATCTTTTTATAAAATCTAACCCAAACAAACATCTCCTAAGGTAACTGCTATATTACCTAAACAAACTCACATTTTGTATTTTCTATTTGTGGTAATTAAAATATATCTAAAGGTCGGTAGTTTATGACTTTTTTTCAACTCACATATTCTGGTCCTCTTGGTCACAAGCCCAAATGAGATGGATGGATGCGAGCCTCACATGTCGTTACACCAATCCTGCCACGTACACATCCATTTTAAAAATATTTAATTGATTCAACGAAAAACAAGTTCCATTTTTAGTGATATTAACAAGCTTAAGTAATACAAATCCATGAGATCATAAATAAAATTCTTATATTCACAAATACTCTATTTGAAACAAATATGGTCAAAAGGACTGAAGTAATTTGTGAAAAAGGATAAAATTCAAACGGAAAATATAACAAAAAAATATATTCAAACTGAAAACTACTGCGTGCTTTTATCCTCTATCCTGTGAACTAGTACACTCAACTTAGAGAAATTGATGCTGATAGAATATATCCCTGCATATTTGAAACTATTAGCCTACAATGAAAAAGGTAAACACATATGATTCTGGTAAGTTTTGATAAGTTCGATTCGAAATGAAACGAAACGAAGAATAATTGATGAGAAACTAGTTACCTCATGATCAAACAATGACTGCACATAATCTTGGAGCAATCCCTTAAGAATATACAAAGCCATTTTAGATGCAAAGTGGTAGAAAAAAGATGAGAAACTAAATACTAAAACAGAGCATAAGAAGTGAACAAAATGTTATGGTTTCATGTGGGGGAAAGCAAAACAAGAGGGAGATGAGGACAATGTGAAGCACAGACTACCTTCAGTATAGCATGATCCATCATCAATTTGACATCAAGATTCTACAAAATTAACATTTATGCCACTAGAAATGTATAGTGAATCAAACAATACTGTCAAGATGCTCTTCCTAAGCATTATACCACTACAGTCAATTTCTAAACTATTATCACCATGTGATGGAAATGGATAACCAACCTTAAAAGTTAACACTTGACTGGTTAAAAGACTTGTTTGCCTTAAAAAGCTAAATTAGATAAACAGAGGACCACCTTGTTAGAAAGTTTTTGGAGTAGATATGCACGATGATGAAAATTCCAGCCCCAATTATACAGGTAGAGATATAGTTATTCAAAACCCAGAAACTAAATAACTTTTAATGTAAGGAATAAGTAATGAGATGAAAGTGGGAATTTAAAAATTTATTTGTTGTTGAGACTTATCTGATCTTGGGCGTCTATGATCCCATCTTGCATGAATTTGGGGATGCTGAAATTAATGGCACAGTAAGCGGTGGAAAAGGAAGAAAAGACGACATCCCAATACCCAAATCATGGGCGAGTTCAAGGACCCAAGCCATGTTGAGATTAACCAGAACGCAGGCATCGTTTCTATGATTTGACTCAAGAGCTGCCGAAGCTGGGAGCGCAGAACTCTCATCAATAGGTAAAAAAGCTTGTCAACAGAGTACTTGTTTTCGGCGGAGCCGAAGTTGTTTGTAACGGGGGCCAAATGATCACTAAAAAAACATGAAACTATAAGTTAACTTGGCTTCACTTGGAAAAGCTGGTTAGAAATTCAGAAGTATTGAAAAGAATTTGGCTAAATTTGGCTCTGTCAGAGAGAAGCAACTTCTGCATACTCCAACCCTTCCAGCCCTAAACTCTAAAAAACATCGAGAAATAGGAGGAAGTAACATTACCCAAAAGAATGGAGTGCGTGTTCGTCTTTGCCGCGTCGGTGGAAATCGTCGTCTCTTGCACCCCTTAGAGAGACGGAGGATTGTCACCATTCGCACACAAGGTCACTGTCACTGTGAAATGGGTTCGAATGACCTTCAAAAAGTTCGTGGAATGCTCAAATGATCCACCCTTTTAAATGTGCCCGACCCACTCGAATATTTAATTAATTTTAAAAGGTAGCAAATTTACAGTACTACCCTTTTGTTCAGAAAACCAAACCATTCGCTCTACCTTTCCCCGTTCCTCGCCGTTTTCAGCCCCAATTCATCTTCTCGATTTTTCTTCGCAGTCCCTTCGAATTTCTTCTTAATTTTTGTTTATCTTGGCGATTGGCTTCGATTTTATGTGTGTTGAGGAGTTGAGTGGTTGTTTATTTGCATTGATTCAGTTTTTCGATGTTTAGATGAACGAATACATGTATAATATTGCATCGATTTAGGTTTTTTTCTGTTGATTTTGTTTTCTGGTGTTCTTATTTGTTTCGTTCCCTGTTTTTCTTCGATTTTTAGTTTATGTTGGAATCGAGGTCTGTGGCTGCGAGAGTTTGATTTGAAATGTATGAAGTGGTGTGGTCGGAGGTTGAAGACGAAGAAGTATTTCGGTGAAGTGGGATGGACCTCGAGCGAGGTTGAAGAGATTTGAAATGTCGCTCAAGGTTTAGTAAACCTCTGTCATTTTTCTCGGGTTCGACATCGGGCGAGGTTGAGCCCGAGGTAATTAAAAGAGGCTCAACCTCGCCCGAGATCGAACCCGAGAAAAATGACAGAGGCTTAGAAACCTCGAGGTTGCGTCAACTTTTTCTATCACCAACCGTTGACCTCGTGCGAAACCTCGCCCAAGGTTCATCGTTTCTTATGAAACTCGGTCTGAAAACCATAACTCCCGCCCGAGGTTCATAGTCAACCTTAACAGAATCATGCCGAAATACGAAACTAAATTTAAAAATGACAACATGTTTCAAAATCAAAGAAAACAAAACAGTAAAATTGCTTTTCAAATGTAGTCCAATCTTAAGAAGAAATCAAAAGCAGCAAAATTAAAGGCAATGGTTGTTGCGAATTAAATGATTCCCGGGCGGGAATTAATATGACCCCGGCCGAGGTTTTTTCTAGCGGTCATGTCTTATACTTAAGGATATTTTGGTCATTTCATCTCATCTGACACATTATTAATGCTTAAAGTAGGTCATTTGGGCACATTTAAAAGGAGTGGGTCATTTGAGCATTCCACAAACTTTTGAAGGTCATTTGAGTCAATTTCCCCAAGGTCACTCCTCTTTAGTTGTTTCGCGCTACAATAGAGTTGGGAGGCAAAAAATTTGGGAGTGAAAAATAAAATTAGGGTTAAAAGTTAAACCTCGCCACTTTTAGTGTCGGGTCTAGCCCGAGATTAAGAGTATATTTACAATGTCGGCCCGACATTGAAACTTACATCAAAATTTTGAATATATATTATATAAAACAAGTATAAGTTATAATTGTAAACTACCTTCCACTCATCTAGCCCCCATCTATCGCATAACATATTCCAATCATCTGGTCTTGCCAACAACCGCTCGTGCGGAGTGTTGCGAGCAATCTCAGGCGTGGGCTGACTTAGGTAGTATTTGTGCAATTTGACCTATACGCCTTATGTGTCTGTTTCATTTAATGCTTGATGAAAGACATCATAACTGGGTCTGACTCTTCGAAATCAAAATGACCCTACGGAAAAAAACACCGAACCAAGTGGATTGTTATTGTTGCTACATCATAAAAAGTGATAAAACATATTAAGTAATTAATCTCAAACTGCTTGAGATGGGTTAGAATTGTCATATTCTCACTTTGTTCGACCTCGCTCCATTTACTACATTTTAGACTAACACATTCACGCATATGTACCTCGATCACGTTAGAAAACGTGGTAGCCATAGGACAAATTGGTTTATTCACTGTGGGGTCACATTTGATCTTTACTTTTGTGTTACTTGCACATATTTGATTTTCCAGTTCTATCAATCGGGTGTATCCTCGCACGTCTGTTCTATCTGTATGTTGTCAAAAATTAAACCAATTAGTTAAATATAACTTATTTATTTTCCATATATTTAAATTGACGTACCTGGACGAAGAACTGGAACAGGCGGGTTCACTGGTGGATGATCACCACTCTGTACGTGTTCTTGTGACTGACCTGCTTGGTCTGGCCTCATTTTTCTACAAACTTAGGCAGGCAACCAATGAGTATTACATATTGACTACACAAATACTGAACATAAATCAATTTCATGCCTAATTTATCTAAAATATAGTTAAATCGACGTACTTGGAGGATTATTTATTCGGTACTGTATTCATCGTCAACATCATTTATACTATTGTCAGTTTATGCGTCCAGTACATCGTCTTATTTGTCATTTATAAAATCATCCACATTGCACTTATGTATGCTTCTATTGGATTGTTCTTGACCCTCAACGAGAACATGATCAACATCATCTCGACGGAATGAACTATCTTGAGTGGATTCATCTACTTCGATCCTGGGTCCTACTTCTAACAATGAAATATGGTCATTTTCAATGTCTATTTGTTTTCGAATATCCCATACACGTTTATTTAGAGTATTTTGAACAACTTTCCAATTATTACCAAGTTTGGGGTCATCCAAATAAAAAACTTGTTAAGCTTGACCAACAAGAATTAACGGGTCGTCTGCATACCAATAATTAGACGTATTAATCGACTTAAAACCGAAGTCAACTCGAATTTTATTCTTCTTAGAGTCTGTATTAAACCACTTGCACTTAAAAAGTATGACACGTTTCCTCTTAGCATAATCTAACTCCCAAACATCATCCAAGACACCGTAAAAATTCATGTCATCCACTTCTCCTCCACACACCATGACCCTATTTTGTGTCGTTCAACGACTATCTCGTTCTGTATTATGAAAACGTAATCCGTTTACAATACAACCGCTATATGAGCGTGCAGTTAATGAGGGCCCTAACACAAGTGAATAAAGATCGTCATCTAATTCGCCTTGTTCTCATAATGTCAAAACCTGTAATAGATAATAACAAAAAACTTAATGATTTCGTTTTGCGTTCACCTAAATTCTAATCTTAAAAATCAATATTATTTGTACTTTGAACCAATCAGGAAATTGAGAACTATGTCGTTCATATAAGGCAGAAACACTATCTCCTGGAAGTCGAATTACTCTAAAATGTTGACTATCATGCCGAAGAAGGAGAAAAATAAAGTTATAGTTATGTACTCGCTAGTGTGCACTTAAAATGTACTTAGCATAAGTCAAACTTACTCTCGATACGACTCTATCTCTATACAGTTGTTCAGTACATACCAATGTGCAACTTTTCTTTCAATGACAGATAATGTCTTTGAAGTTGATGCCCTTAAAGGTCGTGCACTTAGCCTGAACACGCCAAAATGTCGACAATTTTTATCACCAGCAATAGTATCATCATTGTATTCGTCTCTATTGAATCTCGTTTCAATTCCAGTTAGATACAATGAGCAGAAAGTTAAAGATTCATTCATGATGAATGATTCGGCTATCGAACCCTCAGGATGAGCCAAGACACGCCCAATTTTTCGGCGATGAAATTCGAATTTCAACGCTGATGGACACCTTTGAGGTTCTGGAGCCTACTTCATTGAGGTTCTGGAGTGCACTTTTGGCAACAAAAGTATATTTTCATCGCCGAAAGCCAGACCGTCAGTGACGACTTTACTATTTCGTCGCCGAAAGTCGCACTTTCGACGACGAAAGTAATTTCATCATTGAAAGAATACTCCAGAACCTACTTCGTTGAGGTTCTAGAGTGTACTTTTGGTGACGAAAGTAAATGTCGTTGCTGAAAGGCACACCTTTGGTGACGACTTTATTATTTTGTCGCCGAAGGTGCACCTTTTAGCGACGAAAGTTGGAATGTTCGGCGACGACATGTGATGTCGTCGCTGAAAGTGATAGTTTCGGCCTCGAAACAACGTTTTGTTGCTGAAAGTCTCATTCGACGACGAACTTTGACTTAGTCGTTGAAGGTTTCGTCACCGAATTTCAAATTTCATATAGTGAAAGTATTGGAGACTGAACCATTATAAATTTATAAACCACAAAGACTAAATTATATCGGCCCTTATTGACCACTATACACTAGTATTGACTCTTACTACTATTGTTGTCCGATTTTGGGCGGCTGAGACTTGGCGTGGATGGTCGGAGGGGCGACGGCAGGAGGGGTGGGCGAGGCTAAGGTTGCAGTCCACATGGTTCTAGATTTTGTGGCTTAGCAAGAAAATTGGGAGGTTGTTTGAGTTTTGGAAAAATGTGTGGCCCAAAGTTTTTGCCTTTTCTTCAAGGAAGTAAAAATTACAAAAGTTGTAGCCATAGTCTAGAAAACTCTTTAGAATTGAAAAATGTTAGAGGAGAAAAGAAAAAGTTTTCTCCTAAACTTCTGATTTCATAATCTTAACTGGATAAGTGTTGTATTTTTTTTTTTTTTGTTCAATTTCCATTGAACTCATTGACTAATTATAACAAAAAGTTACGTCAAAATCATTAAAACTCACTAGTTTTGGATGAAAGTCGATCTTGCACAAAAATGAATCTAAATACCATATTGATGATCATACATTTCAATTATTGAATCCTAGATATGATTTTCTCTTTAAAGTTTGTCTCTGAATTGAGAAATTTAATTACATAACAATTTCTTTATTTACTTTATTTGTCGTTTTTTTTTCCTTTTTGTGTTAAAGTTGCATAGTTACATATTTGTACACATGTAAAAAAAATATTACATATGAGTTAAATTACTTGTGAGATGTTACATGTTTTGGACAGTTATATATATAGTTGTTGTTTTTCTTTGAGAATACCACAATTTGGTATTCTCATCCTCTAACAAGAATTTGCTCTCTTTTTTTTTTTTGTTCTTATTTGTGTTGAGAGCAAGTGTGTAAAAATTTTGCTAGATTTAAGTAGTTTGAGGTTGCTATTTTACTAGAGTTAGTCATTGTATCCTTTTGAGATCACGATTCCTATAGTCTACTAGCAATTTGTGCAAAGCAA